TCAGGATATGGCAGGGTTCAAAGCTATTGTACTTAGAGTTGCTAGAGTCACAGGTGATTCAATGGCATATAACAACAACAATATCATAATGTTGCCTATCACAATTAAGTATGGCTTGTGATGAACACTGGTGTGTAATAAAATCTTTTACTACACTAGGACAAACAAGATAGCTCAAATCTCTGTTATTTTATAATTTAACTTTTATTTTCTAAGTTTTCCAGGTAATTTTGAAGTCAGAAAACTTCTAGATTCACACACAAAAGAGTGATCCCAGCTCAAATTCAATAAAACTTATAAGCATTTTGGTTACTAGTTAACCTGTACAGTAGATGCAGACCCAAAGGGAGAAAGTAATAAGCTACTAATGAATGTAAAAGTAGAATATTGTTTTAAATTCCTTTTATTATAATTTAGTAACCTTTACAAATTTTATTTGACTTAGATAACTTTAACTTATCTGTGAAATTGTTATATAAGTAGATGGTGCTGTCAATAAAGAGGAAGTTGGAAGCTAAGGAATCCCTTAGGAGCTTGATACCAAAAAAATGTTCCAATACTTGTTTCTATATAAAATACAGAAGTAGGAAGTTTCCCAGACAAGAGTCTTCTCTTACCATTGCATATATGTATATAGTGAGGAAAATAAATTATCATTAACCTTGTCACAGCAAAATAAACTAAATATCACTTCAGATTTAAGGCAAAATCCTGGCTGGTCCTCATCAGTGAAGAATGATTTGGTTTCAGAGATGATACATGCAGGGTAAGTATATTTCAAAGTATCTCATTTTCTAATTTTTTACTTTTCATATTCCCTTAATTTAAGACTGAGTTTTTCCCACCTCTGGCCTCGTCCTATATCTTATGCATACCTACCAACTTGTGAGTGAGTTCTCTGATCCCATTGTCTTATATCTTAATCATATCAACTTGTGAGTGGGTTTATGTTGGGTTTTGGTTTTTTTTGTGAGTGATTTTTAGTCAATATGCTTATTGGAAAGGTTAAGAAGTTTCACTCCCAACTAATCCCTTGGACTTCCGGTGTACTTACACAGAGCACCTCACAATAATAAAAAACACTGCCCATCTGTGTAAAATATTGAATGTTTCTAAATACCTAGATTGAGAAAGATCTGTTTTCCACAAACTCTTTATGTTATATTAATATTTTCTAGTTACGTTTAGATTTTGCTTTATCTCACCATTTGATTGAAACAGTAATGTTGTTGGTGTTGATGTTGTTAGGTATCGTCCAGTTGAGCATGACTCACAAAGACCAGTCATTTAGATTAATAGTATTAAGGATATTTCAATTTGAAGCCAAAATAAAAATTTAGGTTGATTTTTATACACATGAAAACATTTTTATTTTGCATACATTTTACTGTACATATTTTCAACAATTACAAAGAGAATTGTCAAAATGATTCCTATGTAAATATAACTTTCACTTTTATAAGTGATATTACATATCTTTGAGTGTGAATTGTTTTTAACCAAATTATCTTATTCAAAATCTTATTTTCTTGGTCTTTCAAAATCGCTGCTATTTTGAGAACATGTAACATAAATCAACTTCTGTTGAAGGCTTTGAGGTTACACAGCTCTAATTTTATTTTCTTTCTGTACCATTTTATCTGGAGAGAGTATGAAAGGCACCCAAGTGTCGAGGACTCTCCTTCATAGTGTCGCCTGCGACTTGACGGCACTTAACAAGAACAACCACCACCATTTTTTAGCTGAATGATTTAGAGAATTGGGGTGTTTTTCTTTCACTTATGTCAATAAACATAATGATGATAAAAAAGAGTTGTAAACTACTTAGTACAGCACTTGGTACATACGATGTGCTACTTAGACAATTTTTAACCTTTCAGTTTATATTTATAGAACATGAAATATCAAAAATATATAAAGATGAGCAAAGAAAGAAATATAAGAGAGGTGGAGAGAAGGAAGAAAAGAAAGAATGATGAATTGTTTTGTTGTAGAGAATTTTTTAAACTAAGTTCTGGTAGGCTGATGGTAAAAAGCTGCACTGCAATTCCAAAGGTAAGCAGAACTAATCCACCAGCTGCTCTGTGGGAGAAGATAGGCAATTTCTTCCTGCGTGAATACTCTTGGAAAATCAGCTGGAGGTTGAGCTATATAGGTCAGTTCTGACTCATTGACACACAGCTACAACATAAATTTAAATAATACAGTTGGCTTTTTAAGGCAAAATAAAATGAGAATTCATATTTCTTTTGAGGAAAGACAGCTCAAAAAAGTATTTTCTCATCCAAGTGAATTCAATTTTCCCATCAGTTGTTGTGCTGTTGAGTACCTTTGAGTTGGAACAGACCTTAGCTGACCCTCCAGCAGGTTTTTAGAGGCAGTATATCACAGGGCACCTATTATGCATCAGAGAGTTGGATAATGACTAGGAAGGACAGAAGGAGAATTGATGCCTTTGAGCTGTGGTGCTGGAGAAGAGTATTGAATGTACCATGGACTGCTAGGAAAACAGATTCATCCTGGAGAGGTTTAAAGCAGGCTGCTCCTTGGAGGAAAGGATTCTGGGGCTTCGTCTGACATACTTTGGATATGTTGTAAGGAGGGACAGGTCCTCGGAGAGGGACAGCATGCTTGGGAGAGTGGAAGACCCTCTATGAGGTGGATTGATTCAGTGACTAGGGTAATCGGGATGGGTGTGTCAGAGGCAATGTGATTGGCACAGGACAGAGCAGGGTTTAGGGCTGTTGTACATAAGGTCTCTATGAGTCGCAAGTGGCTCAACAGCACATAACAACAACAACAACATATCACAGGGCTGGAGAAAGGATGAAACTCATGCATACGAGTGTTGAGGACTTTTATTCATAGGGTCGCTATGAGTCATCTACAACTCGACCTCACTGAACAACATAGAGAGAGACCAGTTGGCCTAGTGGAACAAAAGCGATGCTACCAAGCCAAAGGTGGGTGACTCTAATGCATGGCCCTAAGGCCTGTTTTAAATTGTTGTTGGTCAAACATTCTTCCAGGTCATATAGCCCTGGTCTGTCCACTTGCTGTACAGAGGTAACTTGTGGTTGCTGTGAAGCTGAACACTGTGACACTGATGTGTCAAATGTGATAATGGTTACCCATGGTGGACAGTGTTTGGTGGAGCTCCCCAATTAAAACAAGCTTGGAAGCAAGAGTGGCATCCACTTCCGTAATAGCTTGCCTCCGGAAACCTTATGAACCGAGAGTAAGGATGAAAATCACGCAAGTCAAGGATTTGCATTCATAGGGTCGCTGAGTCATCTACGACTTGACGGCACTTAACAACAACAACAAATCAATCACAGGGGAGGAGATTGAGTAATATTTCTCAGGCAAAGGTATATATTGCTTTGGGAGAATCTTATAACAAGATCCAAAATACAAAATAGTATCTAATAATAGCAATATATCCTTAGTTTTTGTAATATTTTTCTCAAATCATTTGATGTGTTGTTTTTCTCAGTATTTGCAAAAGGCTTTAGTTAAATTCTGTCTACACATGCATTTCCAGAAAGCATTAGATTTGTTTCTGAAAAGGATGTTTTATATCACAAATTGTTGCCGTTGTTGTATACCATAACATCCATATCTTACCCTCTAGAGGGTTTTCAGAGGCAGCTAATATCTGCATTGAAACAGATGAGGGAGTGAAATGTTTAAAACAGATATATGATTAGGAATTATTGTCATGACAGGAGTCCAGAATGAAGGCTACATAGTGGAGTGGATTTGGGGAGGGGGAGGGATTGTATAACAACGAGAGAATTTTTCTTTTACTTTTCAAAAAGAAGAACAAACTAGGGTAGGGGAGATGTTGGGCAGGGAAAAAAATGCAACAATGAATGAATGGAAACCCAAAGTCTTTGTAAACTTTCATTAAAATTAATTAATAAAAAGAGAAAAAAATCTGGTGGCCTCGAAATGTGTGCCTTTGGGATTACAGCACAGCTTCTTGCCACTAGGCCACCAAAGCTCCAATAACCTAAATATCATTAAATTATATCCTTGAGTTAATTCTGATAAAATATTCTCCAAGTGTATTTAAAACTCAGAACAAGACTGGTCCATCAGATTCACTGCAAGAGATAAACACCAAAATCTCAAAGAAATTGTTTCAAAATAGTATTATTTTTATATAGTGTAAATATTTTATAATATTCATAAAATTATAATTTTATTAAAATTGTAGAAGTAAATTTTATAAAGAAATATTCTCATTATAAGATTTATCAAGTTTACACTATTTCTTTTTTTTATTTCTTATAAAATACAATGAATAATATTCCCCTTAAACAGTTTCTTTAAGATTTCAGTGTATCTCTTGCAAATAATCTGAAGGGCCAATCTTCTTTTGAGAGAAGACTTTCAACCAGATAGATTGACAGAGTGACTGCAGCGATGGGTTCAAATATGTCAGAGATAACGAGGATAGTACAGGATAGGGCAGGGTTTAGAACTGTTGTTTATAGGGTTTCTTTGAGTTGTATTAGATTTGACAGCACATAATAAATGTAACAGTATATATATATATTCAGAGGATTTATTTGTGACAAGTGTGACTAGTGTGATTTCAATAGGTAATGTTTTGTCCTGATATTCCAAACTGAGTTATTATCTCTCTTGGCCAAGAGGCTATGCTCTTTGCAAGAAATAGTTTTTGATTGATTTACAATGTTGAGTTTAGTGCCATACTAAATTCTTGGAAAGGTGGAGAGATGAAAGAAGAAGATGATATTCAACAAGATAGATAGACACGATGATTATGACAATGTGCTTAAACAATGTTACAATCTGTTATATATAGGGTTGACTTGATGACCTCTAACAACAACAATGCTAACACCTCAATTTTTTCCTATGATAACCTTTTATCTGGTTTGTTACAATTAACATCAATTTCTTTCTTTCAGAGTAGAAAGTCCCAGTTCATCTCTTCCTCTCAGATGTATTGCAACAAACTGAACTAAATGGAAGAAGGAAATCAATCGGCAGTATCTGAGTTTCTTTTCAGAGGACTTTGCAATTCAAAGGAGCTCCAAACCTTCTTCTTAGTGCCATTTTCTATACTCTACCTGATGACTGTTTTTGGGAACCTCCTTGTTGTATTCTTGATCATTACTGACCCTCATCTCCATTCCCCAATGTACTTTCTCCTGGCCAATCTCTCATTCACTGATTTCTGCCTTTCTTCAGTTACCACCCCAAAACTAACTGTAGACTTCCTAAAGGATTATAAGACTATCTCCTTTTGGGGCTGCATGGCTCAGATTCTCTGTGTGCATTTCTTCGGAGGAGGTGAAATGGTGCTACTGGTAACAATGGCTTATGACCGTTACGTGGCCATCTGCAAACCACTCCATTATTCTAGCATAATGGACTCTAAAAAGTGCATCTGGCTAGTTTTGATAACATGGATCATTGGCTTTGTACATTCCACAAGTCAATTGGCTATGGTTATGGAACTACCATTCTGTGGACCAAGAATAGTGGACAGCTTTTTCTGTGATATCCCTTTAGTAATTAAACTAGCCTGCATGGATACTCATACTATGGGAACATTGATAAATGCTGATAGTGGGTTCTTGGCAACAACCTGTTTCATTCTCTTGCTGGTCTCCTACACCTATATCTTACTAACTGTTCGCCTTCACTCAAAGGATGGGGCATCAAAGGCACTCTCTACCTGCACGTCCCATATCACAGTGGTTGTGTTGTTCTTTGGACCCTGCATTTTTATCTATCTGTGGCCACTCAGCATTACATGGGTGGACAAGTTTCTTGCTGTGTTTTACACAGTCATTACACCTCTCCTGAATCCAGCTATTTACACACTGAGAAATAAAGAGATTAAAAATGCCATGAAGAGACTTATAAATCGGCATATGGTTTCAAGAGACAATTTTTAGATCTCATATGTAATCACCTTTCTGTTAGTCTGTGTGTGTTTTGTTGTGCATAGGGTCTTCAGAGGCCTGCTATTTCAGAAGTGGGTGGCCAATCCTTCTTCCTAGTCTGTCTTAATCTGAATGTTCAGATTTAGAGGAGTATCTGACAGACAAGCAATTTGTGGAGCAGTGAAAGGGTCGCTATGAGTCGCAAACGACTCGATGGCACATAACAACAACAACATGTAATCACCTAATCCCCTTAATCACTGCAATTCTGTCATACTTTAACTTATAAACAGAATTGGAAATAATTACCTGTTCATATTTATAAATGAGCATAGTTATTAGTGTCCCATTATGTATAGATTATGCTTTTAAATATTTATATACCTAATTTATATTTAATTAAAGGAATTGCAAAAGGTATTTGAGAGGTCAGCATCCACCTAGAAAAGAAAGAAAAGTCTTAGCCATTATTTTAAAGGTTGAGTTCCTCTTGAAAGATATTCTTTAAATTCACAGCAAAAGTCTGTAATTTTTTCTCTGATATTAATAAATTCATTTTGTGATCATAAGTTTAATATATATATGATTGTGTTGTTATTGTTGAAATTATTAGGGAAGTGTTTAAATGCCTTGCTTGAAAGAAACAAAATAACATGAAACAAAACACAAAATTATAGAAAAGACCAGACTTACTGTTCTGATTAAGATCAATGGAACCGTGGAGACTACGTCTCTTAGTCAGTCACTCTACAAGCTTAGACTGAAGTCATTGTAGTAACTCAACTTCCAGGCGAATAGACAAGTCAAATTAGATGATCTAAGAGAAGCTATTCCTTGGAAAGGAACATCATTCTTAGAAAGATAGAGGGTTGGTGAAAGAGAGGAAGACCTTCATCCAGATGGATTGACAGAGTTGGCAGCAGTGGACTCAAGTAGGTCAGAGATCGTGAAGAGGGCACAGGATAGGACAAGGCTCAGATCTGTTGTTCATAGTGTTGCTATGAGTTGTGGTTGATTCAATGGCACCTAACAACAATAAATAAGATCATCAATAATACCAGAGAGGAAAGCCTTCCTTATAATATTAATCACACAATGTTAAAAGTGTAGCATTTGCCTTTAAGTTCAGAAGGTTGGAGGGCTTAAGAAAGAAGCATAATGGAAACAGAAACATAAGAAGATGTTGTTAAAATGTGAGGACTGTAATTAATCATCCAAGAAGATGTATATGAAATGTTGAATGGGAAACCATTCTGTACTTTTCACTCAAATAATAATACAAATTATGAAAAGCTTAAAAAACATGGCTAATAAGAAAGTCAAGGAGAAACTACCAGTAACAATTGTTCTTGTTGTTATATAATGTTGAGTTGGAACAGATGAATAGTTTACCTTCCAGTGCGTTTCAGAGCCAGAAAAGTCCATAGGAAGAAATGGCCCATTTTTGTTCCCCACGAAACCGCTGTTGCATTCAACCCTCATGCCTTTGAGTTGGTAGTGCAACATTACATTAGTAAAACACCAGAGCTACCTGGTGATTCTCCATGACAATAGCTCTGTAACAATAGCACAGTGAAATTGCCTGTGTTTATTCGTTACAGGTCTCAGATATTCTATGTGAATTTGACATAAATTTTTTTTTATTTCTGAGGAAGCTCTCATTGCACTTGAAAAATAAATATATTGAAAATATGTATCATATATAAAAGAATAATATAAT